TCTTTTTCCGTAAATTTAATGCATCAGCCTGAATTTTATTGTCTTCCGTTCTAAACTAGAAGCCTTTGAAAATTGCACTAAGGAAAGCAAAAGGCGATAAAACTGAACATGTAAGGGTTTTGGTGGTGGTTCCCATCGTTTGTGACGAAGTCCTACGGAGTACACTTGAAAGATTCCTCGAGCGGGAGGAAGACAAACTTATTCACAGTGGAAGAGCATAAAACGACGTTAGAGTTTGACCTTCCCTCAGCCTCAGGATCCACTGCCGAGATTTTAATTGCTGAAGCAACATAGTAGTGAACCATGGGGAAAAATTGTGGGCCTTATTAGAAAAGTATTGCTTGCACTTGAGTCTTAAAAGTAGTGATGAATTTTAAGACCCTAATTACCGATCTAATTTAGTGCCTAAGACAAATTTCAATGAACGTAACCGTGCGACAATTCCAATACTACGAACACAGGATTTCTTTACTAGCACTTGCTTTAATTTGAACAACTTATGGTGAAGAAAATAAAATGAACTTCTGTATGGGAACTGAAAGAATTTATAAAATTTAAAGCAGAATTCAAAGTTTTAGAATTATGAGAGATTCCTGCTACAAGTATTAGGAAACAGCTAATGAAACTTTTCAGTAATTGTTAAAAGTATTATTGCGTATCAAATCCTGTCCTTGTTTGTGTTTTAACGCATGGATATCCAAATCTTCTTCAATTACCGGCCTACTTGATTCCAGTGATTTGAGTAGAGAAGATGTCGGTAAAGCAGGCCTTGGATCTCGTATCCAAACACGTTCCAGGCTGGTTTACAGTCTGCCTGGACTTTCGAAATGTTGTACAGGTAGCGAATGCGTTCCTCTTCCGTTATTGATGTTACATCTTTTTTCGAATATGACTCACAAAGAGTTGTGAACCTCAGTAGCATAATGGATTGTGGGGACATAGGTTACTTTCTCTTTAGCAATTCTTTTTTCATACAACAAATGCATTCATGCAACTTGCGTTTTGTAGGGAAAGGACACCTTACCTGCTATTCACGTGGATGTTAGAGGAGCAAAATTACTACGTGCTGCCAAATTGAATGACGCATTTCGTGTTGAGCGACTGATTCAACGCGCGGTATGTTGCGTTATCTGTCTATTCTTCCTTCAACGTTTGATTGCAGAGTGGAGTAGAGTTAAAAATTTGAAGCTGTAGCAATAGGCATGGTTTGTGATTGTAATGGTAGCTTGTTCAGCATGATAGAAGGCCACCTTGCTACTTTCTTTTTTATTTCACGGATGCCATGTGTAAGCCCGCATAAGTGCGCCATCTTGATCGGAATTTTTTGGCGTTTTCTAGGTGAGTCCAAACACGCTGAATGTGGCTGAAGGCAAGTCGGCGCTTATGATAGCTGCGGAAAATGATTGCTATGAAACGATGCAAGTGCTTTTGGACCACGGAGCATCAGTTACCCAAACTGATAAATTTGACAACATTGCCCTTCATTATGCAGCACTTGCTGGGCATTTCAACGCCGTGGCGCTCCTTTTAGACCACCACAGTCCCCTGAACGTTGTCAATAGTAGCCAATGCACTCCGTTAATGTCGGCCGCTAAGGCAGGTCACGCTGCTATTATTCGTCTCCTGCTAAACAATGACGCTGAAATGACTTGGGAACTAAATGACAACAACGAATCTGCCTTAACACTAGCAGCTAGTACGGTAAGAAATTTTGGCTATACGTGTACGATTGATAGGGCTGCGGTCATGTAACGCACCACTCGTGTGATACCTGTTTCCTCCTTTACTCTAATGTCGATTGTCTCATTCTGCAGCCTAATGTTTTGTTTACTTAGGGTTGCCCAGAGACGGTAGAACTGATCTTAAAAAGCGTGCCTAGGAATTCGCGTTGCGTAGGGGCGTTGAATGTTGCTTTGCGACAGGCTGTGAAGTCGGATAGTAAAGCAGCAGTTCAAATGCTGATCAACCACGGAGCAGACGTTAACCACAGCGATGAAGATAACTCGGAAGTCATCTTTGAAGCTGTAAAAAGAGGTTGTGCGAGGATGGCAAGATGTCTTAAAGCCAATGGAGCCCAAATTGACGTGTTTGATAAGGAAGGTTACACCCCACTCATGCGGGCTACAAAGGCGAATGATGTGGAGATGGTCGTTACTTTGATCGCCCTTGGTACGGATCTTGGCTTACGCTATTTACTTGCAATTTTGTGTGTACATTTCAAGTACTTAGAAACGTAATGGCAAGTTGTAAGTCTTGATCAGAAACCTGTCGATGTAGAGGTAAAAAGCGGATACAAAGGGGATTTCATTGATATCCTTTGGTGCCACTTGTCACTCCAATTCTTTTTAAAAGGCGGATGCACATATTATTTTTTGTAGGAGCCAGTTCGAGAAGAATAAGAAGGCAGACGGGAGAATCAGCTTTGCAGATTGCCTATGAATCGGGCTATGAGAAACTCAGCGAAATACTATCAAGGTCTTACATGAGAAAGGACTCGCCATAATCCAACCATTCTTGAAATAGCAGTGATGACTAAATCATAAATTTCTGCTAAACTCACAACCTTTATTTATAAGCAGCGCTATTACATGAAATGCAGGAGTCTTGTGCTCTTAATTTTAAAAGGCTAAAGGGGAGTTTTTTTGCGGAGGGATTCGCGTTACCCACTCCTTAGATGCGGTTTTGTTGGCTGGACGTAGTTGAGTGAACACCATTGTGGGCTGCTGATAACCAGGGCACATGTTTTCGCAGTGGAAGGAGGGAAAGGGTATGGTTTTCTGGCGCACCGTAGGAGCTGAAGGTGTGTCTGCTAGGCGAATCGCAATAGTAGCGGTAACTTCTTTCGTGGTTCTGAGATGCATGAGTAAAAAATACAGTAGATGCATCGTTGAGTGAAACGCTGCTTCATCACCGACTTCCACAGACAACAACAGGGTGCGATGGCAAAAGACTAGGGCGTGATTAGTTTCGTTTTAAGGGGAATAGTGCAAGTCTGTACTTGTGGTTATGCTACCGAGTAGGTGGTTTTGGTGCTGGGACGATTGTTGAGGTAATGTAAGCAGCCTAATGAAATATTCTCAGGTTGAATCGGCCGCGGCAAGATGCGCTACACGGAGGATTTCGTACTGCATCATCCGGTTGGCTTTCAGTGTTAAATCAATCTGAACAGACGATGGAGGGTTGACTTCGATAGCCGACTTTCTACATAATCATTCCATAAAGTCCGTACCCGAATTTCTTGCGCAGCTACTCAATTTTCACAGTGGAGATACAATGAGGAAGCGGTAGCGAAATGCTCACACCTACCCGCAAGTACACGCATTTGCCGTGTGCCAGACTAGTGCATGTGCACGAGTGTGTCTCTATCTTTAGTGTTAGCATTTTCCTCACCTATAAAACCCCAAATCGGTACAAATAACTGTCGTTTGTTACAATAGGCTACAGCTCCATAAATATGCTCCACAAATCGCACGAAAAAACAGCCCACTAAAGCCGGATAAAAAAGCACAGTCAAGTATTACACATAAAGATCACATGAAGCGGAAGGTCAGGGTGATGCTAACATAACGACGGTCGGGCTTTTGGGACGAACAGAGTTCACCAAACTGGTCCCTGAGCTCTGTTCACCTCTCGGAGGCGCCACATGACTGAGTGGTTTCAGGAGAGAGATGAGGTCCAAGTTCTTTTGAGCTGTGCTCAACCCCATTCGTTTTGAAAGGTAACCATAATAAACGAGAAATGAGGTAAAAATGAGTGAGTAAAGTACCTTATGTAGGTAAGAGATGGGAAATTACATTAAAAGTCGGCTGTAGAAGTAACAGATAACTCTGTTAAGCGATAGAAGTGAACGTTTATTCGACTACAAGAAATGCGCTACATGATGAACCAAACAAAAAGCGTGTATTTTGAAATATTCATTGAACGGTGCATAAAAACCCTCTCAAACAG